TTGTATTTTAACTTAAAAGTTTATAATATCAACTTTATTTTATTAAAAGCATTTCTAAAATATTTGGCATTACACGAGTTAACTGTATCTGATCTCCCACTGAGGCGTGATCTATCGAATAAAACTTGGGAGCTAAGCCAGAAGAATTCAAATCGCTGAGACCAGATCCTAGAGAACTATAATTTCTAAATTTAGGATCTATAATGAAATGCTAACCTGAAACTCCGAAATGACAGAATGTCACACATATACACCTATGCATGTACTTCATTATGTATATAATTATGCCCACATATTTAATGCATACTCATTTATGCATATAATTTTACATACTAGCATGATCAAATATAACAATTTATCATGCTGTCACATAAACATTTGTAACAAATAATCACGTATTTATTACCTCGGGTGATAACCAAGATCCGGTTATCACACACTCCAAAGTTAAATTCAGACGTGAACTTTTCCAGAGTTATGTTGTATGTCTGGGGGCCGTAAGTGAAAATTATCTCTAGATACATGTTTAGGCGGGAAAAATCAATAACCGTCGCACAGAAACATGACACATATCTCCAAAGTTACTTATTTCTTAGTATTATAGATATGTAAATATCAATTTTTGTATGTATATATATGGTGTTTATACGAAATGTATGTATCCATCAATATATATATATATATATCTATCTTTATATATATATATATGTATCTATCTTTATATATATATATATATATATATATACAGACTTGGGATCATATGAGACCAAGGCTTTTTCGTGAGACCCGTAAGACCAATTCTCAACCCTTGGATTAGATCTACAATCTCAACATTCATAATCATAAAATTGCCACGAGACTTCTCAATAATTACAAAATTGTCACCGCAATTTAGACCATTAGATCATTAGCTTATAAAGTTGATCAATGAACATAAATTGGTCTCACGGGTCTCACGAAAAACCCTTGGTCTCACGTGAACCCAACCCTATATATACATATGTATGTACGTATGTATTATATATATGTATCCTTATATATATGTGCTTATATATGTACATGTATGTATATGTATATGTATATGCGTATATATATACATGTATATATATGCATATATACATACGTACATACATATGTATATATAGGGTTGGGTTCACGTGAGACCAAGGGTTTTTCGTGAGACCCGTGAGACCAATTTATGTTCATTGAT